TTTCACTGGGGAATTCCTCCTTTTGCCCAAAAAGAAAAGAGCAGGGTAATGGTCTCGCTGGCAGAAAGGACCAGGGGCTCTATGAGGCACGAGCTTTTTTCTAAAGAACTCCAAGGGCTCACAAACAAACTCTTGTGAAATAAACATTTAGGTTTTTTTTCTCACTGAGGAATTCCTACTTTTGCTCGAAAAGGAAACAGCAGGGCGAACATGGTCCCTTGGAAGGGGCCAGGGACTTTATGGGCGCGAAACGAATTTCCAAAGTTTAACAGACAAATTTTGAAATTTGTCGAAGAAGTTTTAGGTTTTTTCTCACTGGGGAATTCCTACTTTTGCCCAAAAAGAAAAGAGCAGGGTGAACAAGGTCTTGCTGGCAGAAAGGACGAGGGACTTCATGCGGCTTCAAATTTTTCTTAAAAATCCCATTTTTTCACAGACAATCTATCAAAATCTATTAAAGAAGCTTGGATTCAACTAGACTAAAAAAAAGCGTACTCCTGCTGTCAAACAAAGAAAAAAGCAGGGCGAATTTCGTCTCGCTGGCCTGAAGGAGAGGGACTCCATGCGGCAGGACTTTACCTTAAACTAGGGGTGGTCAAAGGAAAACTCAGAAAAGAAGATACTCTTGGGTTTTTCTACCCTGAGGAGTCCTACTGTTGCTCCCTCTCTCTCTCTCCCCCCCCCCCCTTTTTAAGCTTGGTATGAAAGACAGGATTTGTATACTTGAAGATAACCAAATGGTTTTTACTGCAGATTGTCTTGCAGGAAATTCTTGCGCTCGATACAAATTTCTACCGATACTCTGGAAGATTCCACTTTGGCAGTGTGCAAATCTCATTTTCGCTGGAAAAAACTTGATAATAATTGCAGCAGGACACGAAATACCTTTCGCACTTACAAGGGAAGTGTCAGAAGCCGCAGTGGCCTTTTGACATGGGATGGGTACCATCTTAAGCAGCTTGAAATGCTGATTCCAAAACAAACTTTTTTAGCTGCAGAACTGATCTGGGTCGCGAGTTATGGGCATTTTAAACATTAAATTTTACATGTTTGAAGTATTTAGTGATCACGGGAACCTTTCAATGCTGTGTTTAAGCATCATAGCATGACTTTGATGAAGACGTAGGATTACGTTAAACATTGATGGACTGTTTCTTCTATGTTTGAGCCCAAAAAAATGTTCGCTTTAATTTTTGGCTATTCTCAGCGTTGTAAATTTCCCGCAAATTAAATTCAATAACTCTCGTCCTAGATTAGTTCTGCAGCTAAGAATGGCTAATTTGGAATCAGCATTTCAAGCTGCTTCAGATGATACTTATTTCATGTCAAAAGGCCACTGCGAGTTCTGACACTTCCCTTGTTAGTTTTTGCAATTTTTCTGACTACTCTGAAAAATTGTTTTGCCCTTAGGAATGAGAAGTGCAATTCCGGTCTCGCTGGCGGCTCGATAATCCAGTGTAGAATGCTTTTACCGTTACAATTCTACTGTAGAATGCTTTTACGAGAGAAATTTTTCAAGCTTGATTTTTTGAAAATCGTCAAATCGTGAAAAAATTCCACTTTTGCTTTCAGTATTGCAGTGTAAACTTTGGTTTTGCTGAAAAGCGCAATTCAGGGTTTATGAGACAAGACAGCATTACAAACACCTTTTCATTTTGCTTTTGATGAAGATGCTGAAGATTTGATGCTTTTGATGCTTTTTTGCATGGTCTCTTACGGATTTGGAAAACAAATCCTGTATTCTTCATAAGAAGAGCTTATGAAGGAAATACAGGTACTCTTCTCACTAAAGAAATGAGGGGGTACCTAAAGGGTCTCGCGAAATCTGAAAGGTCACTTCAAAATGGTGTCTGAAAGTGAGGGAATTTCTTACAATTTCAGTTTGGATTATCAACAAAAAAGGGATTCCGACTCACTCTGGCCGGATTTCCTAAAATTTACAAGGAAATGCTTGCACTGCATAATTTCGAGTGGAAGGAGGCCTTGGCAAGGAGGCCTGGAGCATCAAAGAAATTTGTATGGATGGATGGATTTTGTATCTTTATAAAGTCTCTGTTTGTTTAGTAAGAGAACTAAAGGATGCTCAAGGGGCCCCGTTTTTTGACAGAAAGTCAGAGCTGTAAGAAACTTGGATCTTTTGTTAGAACTTTCAACGATATGAAAGAAATGGCGGTAGTTTAGGCAAAGTGTTTTCTAATGGGTGCGTGTCGCTCATTGAAAGAACATTATAAAAAAAAATTTTTTTGGCATTGTTTGGGACTGGAGAAATGTAAAAAATACGACGATACTGTTAAGAGAGTTTCAGATGTGTGAAAGGCTCCGCATCTTCTCCGGTAGGAAGTCGCGAGGTCCAGAAAAGTTTAGAACTGTGAAGATTTTTGAGTGTTTAGAAAATGTTGTATTTTTGATAGGAAAGCTTTGGAGGCATCGAGCGGGTTCCGCGTCCTTTTGCGAAAGGCAGAGGCCTTGAAGTATCATAGTTATTTGCATCTGCATGAAATTTCGGAATTACAAAATATTCCGCTACTCCCGGAAAAGTATCCAATAGATTTCGCTTGGGTATTTACTAGATTTCGCTTCACTTTTAAAAAAGCTTTGTAGTATCAAAACCTTTGGATTCATTACAAGGGGTTTTAGTGGGGCTGGGTGTTTTGCGAACTCCGCGTTATTCAAGGAAAAAGTTGAATAAAAAAGGGAAATTCATAGCACTAGAAAATCTGAGGATGTAAAGGAAAGGTCTTGTGGGAAAACTTTATTAATCAAGGTTATCGCTTCACCTCTGATAGAAGGTGCGAAAGGAATTTAAATCAATGCATGGACTTCTGGGAAGTGAAAAGAATTCGTACCCTTGCTGAAACTTCAGGGGAGCGCACTTAAATTTTGATCACTTTGCTGAGGAAGCCTTGTTTGTGAAAAATTGGCAGAACTTTCCGAATAACCCACAGCAATCCGATATAACTTTGGTCATACTATTAGTGCTCAAAAACAACGCCGCATATTTTTAATAGCTTCGTTTGTTACTGTGCCGTAAGCTGCAACATGAAACAAATAGTTTTTTTCAAATGTCGTTTTTTAATGATCATCATTTAGTAGTATCCACTGTTTACTGTAAAAACTGGACGCTTTGAAAAACGAGAGCCTTTTGTTAGTGCGCAAATAAGTGTAGCCTTGACTCACTAATGTATTGGCCTCAACCCACTTGCTAGCGACCCGTAGGGTCGCTAGTCTTATATATAAAGCTGAATGTCTGTTTGTCTGTATGTCTGTCTGTCTGTCTGTCTGTGTGTGTACGTATGTTCCGAATAGAAAATTCCATTTCTGAACCGATCCGGACCAAACTTGGCACACATACACTTCGGGTACCGGCGGGTGTCATAGGCTACTTTTCGTCATCGATCGATATCGATTTTATCGATTTTATCGATTTTTTTGCAAAGTTTGGGCTACGGGGCTGGGAGTTGGCACAGGGGGGTAATCGAGCATGCTGATTACGACTACAATTTTAGTTTTTGGAATTAGTCGCTACTTTTATCGATTTTATCGATCTTTATGCAAAGTTTGAGCTACGGGGCTGGGAACTGGCACAGGGGTAATCGAGCATGGGGATTCCGAATACAGTAAGTTTCAGCACAGTTTCAACTTTCAGCTTATATGTAAGATGTGTGCATGCAAAAATTCAACAATTTGTCTAGGTCTATTACAACCTGAAATTTAAAAGTGTTTTATAAATAAAACATTTTTCAGAATACGCCAAAAAATCTTCAAATCCAGACTTCGCCAAAAAATCAAAATTGCTGTGATTTTAAATGATCAGTGCACTCTTTCAATACGTTTGATCGTGGCATTAAAGCACTCGAATTATTTTAGGGAGGCTGTTTTGTAATCAGCGCACTCGGTTATCCCTTCCGAAATCCAGTCCCAGATGACAGAAATATTTTGATGCAGGACTGAGGATAAGAAATAAAAATTACCTCGTTTGAATCAGCAAAACCAAGTGCCAGTTTACATCCTTCTAGTCCAAGGGTTGAAAAAAGTACTGGATATTCTCACAAACAGTTACTACATTCGTAATCAGGATGTTCAGTTACTCCACTGTGCCAACTCCCAGTCCCGTAGCTCAAGCTTTGCAAAAAAATCGATAAAATTGACAAAAGTAATAGACGATTTTCCAACTCCCAGCTCCGTAGCTCAAACTTTGCAAAAAAATCGATAAAATCGATAAAAGTAATGGACGATTTTAAAACTAATATTGTATTCGTAATCAGCATGCTCACTTACCCCCATGTGCCAACTCTTAGCCCCGTAGGTGAACTCTGCAAAGAAACCGATAAAAATATACACCCGCCCTGCCCCGAAGTGTATGTGTGTCAAGTTTGGTCCGGATCGGTTCAGAAATGGAATTTTCTATTCGGAACATACGTACAGACAGACAGACAGACAGACATACAAACATACAAACAGACATTCAGCTTTATATATAAGTAAAAACGAGCCGCGTTTTAGCAGGCTCAATCGCTCTTGAAATAATTTCCTTACTGTATCATAATCTCCTGCTCTTCTCGTCTTTTTGCACTCTGAAGCAGCCGCCGGCCGGCATTAGACACCGCCTAAAGTAATCGCCGTCGTCGCGCGGTCGCCAGCCTAGTGTCTGAGTTAGGCGTCGACTCTTGTGTGCAACCACGGCACAAGCGGGCTTGCTGTCCTTATCCGATTAAATTTTGTGCACTGACACACAGCGCAGGAGGTAACTACAGATGGCGTCTACTATACAGTACTGGGCACAGGCGCCGTTTACGCTGCCCTTAACGTGCCCTACTATTCTAGGTTTTCCTTCGACCATGTATTTCTCTCATACTCTTACACGACAAAGGGAGTCACTCCCAACTATTCAAACATGTACATCGACTTGCCTTTAAACTCTTCATCTTCGGCAATCTGCGCGTGTTGTTATGTTTATGTAAGGACGTGCTCAAGATTTCACTTTCTCTATGTCTTTTATCAGATCATTTTCTACGTATGGAAGATGAGCCATTTATACGAAGGCAGCTCCGCTGGAAATATAAGACGAATCAAGGAGTATAGGTATCATTGCCAGAGCTTCGTTAATTCGGCTTTTTTTACGCATTTTAGATATGCACTACAATTTTGTGCAATATCCATTTTCTATCTGTGTGCGTGGGTTATGTTCCGAGTGTTTCCTGTATTGATCGGAGAAAGCGGAGTGGAATATTTCATTGTCATCTCAGCATGCGTGACGTTGAACGCATCAGCAAATGCCATCGTTTACATCACTTCTAATTTTGAGGTATAGACAAGACTGAGTTTTCAAGTATCATATATTCAATGCGCCAATTGCTGGCTCGATATCTTTGCCAAACGAGTACGAAGCGAGCTTGATGAGAAGGAAAGATCTTCCAACATCTTTTTTCACTGCAAAGTATTACTTTAAACTTCAAATGCCTACTTTGTTTGAACAAACTTTCTCGCCATTCGACTGTGCGCTGAACGCGAAGACAACTTCAAAAATAAGCAGCTACAGTGGCTCCGAAATTTCTTTAAGCAGCGACAGACTTTTACCTATGAAGAGGCTTGACGTTTAGCCACGCTGCTTAAAATCTTTCGGAGGGGTGACTTGCATTTTAAAAAGTTGTAGAAATTAATTTGATTTTTTACAAGCAAAATTACTTGCATAAATCTACGATGATTAAAGTGCTTTCGAAAATTTTGTAGTCCATTTTTGGGGAAGATCAAGAGGTTTCATCACTGAACTACTTAAAAATTATTTCTGTTTCAAATTCGCAGATTGTAACAGCAAACGTTTGCCTCTAATTCTATTGAGTAGGAAACTTCACAAGCGAATTTGCGATGGAAATAATATATTATACAAAAGTTTACCTGCATAGCAGTATACTGAACACTTAAAACCATTTTTGAAAATCAGTTTTGATAAGATTTTTCCAGTGTGGTTTCATGAATAAACAAACCTATCCGTCGAATAATCTTGTATCTTTTCAATCTGGAATAAATTTTGGATAGAAATTTGACGTTTACTCGGGTATCTGCAAAAGAATTTTCACCATGCATAGAAAGCGAGACGAAAAAGTTTAAATGGTAAACTCCGCCTCAGCTCCTCTCACAAGTGTGGATGCACTGCAAGCTTTAGTAAGTAAAAAATTTTAGATCCTTGTTTGCTCTGGTTATCGAGATATACCAAGTTTGACACAAAAAAAACGAAAAAAGCGACATCTTTGGATTTTTAGTTTGTTAATCTTGAGACCCAGAAAAAATCCATCAAATGCAATTTGGGTACTACTGCGTGTCTACTGTATAATGACCAAGTCAGAGGTCCGTAGAAACTTTCTGGAAAAAGATTCGATTTTAGGGTAATTAAAATTTTGATTTTCGCTCCAAATTTTACCGTGATTACGGCTTAGGCGTATCTTTGGTATTCGTTTTGTAGAGCTTGCTTCGCTCTATCGAATGGTACATTAAGTCTGCCAGGAAAACAAAAACAGCTTGTTCTATTCACAAAAGGAGTTTATTTTTGGAACAACCTAATAGTTTGGTTCTTCCATATCTCACATCTCGATTGGAAAAAGCCTCTAAGATTATGATTACTATAAGGCCCGTATGCACGTACATCCCCGTTGGGGAGGGGATCTGAGAGGGGATTGGTCATATCTCGCTACTCTACGTATTTTTTTTTCTTCTTTCTCTATCTTGCTTATGAAGTTGTTCATACACTTATACCTGCGCATAATGGATGCCAGGTTACTTCTATACAAGACTGGTTTTTTTGCCATTTTGTGGGATCCCCTGGGGATCACCTCTCATTTTCAAAGTCATTTATCTTTCTGAGAAGCCAATGGAAACGCCGCAAAATTGTACTGAGGATATACTACGGCACTGCTAAGCATGTTTTCGACAGAAGAAATAGAATGTGAGATTGTGAATTTTTCGATGATCCCTAGCTTTCGAGCCAGGGATTACCGAAGATTTCGATATCCTGAGATTTCACTTATTTCTACTATAAACATCTTTAGCAGTGCCGTAGTATATCCACAGTACAATTTTGCAGCGTTTTCAGTGAATTTTCAGGAAGATATTTGGCACTGAATTTGAGAATTGATCCGCTGGGGATCACTTGGGGGTCCCCAGGGGATCACACAAAATTGTAAAAATCTAATCAGTTATGCCAGTAACCTGGCATCGATTAAGCGCAGGTATTAGAGTATGAGTACCTTCATAAGCAAGATAGAAAAGAAGAAGAAAGATACGTAGAGTAGCGAGACATGGCGCATCCCCTCTCAGATCCCCTCCCCTCCCCAGCGGGGATTTACGTGCATACGGGCCTAAAACAACAGGAACATTCTAAAACTTTAATCTTAGGGCCGCATGCACTAATATCCCCGCGGGGAGGGGATCGCAGCTTAAAAGAAAGCTTTATATTTCGAAACTCCAGATACCTGGATTTCACGTTGTGTACCTATCCGTAAGTATTCCTACTACCCTTCACTATGAACTTGTTGAAGAGGAGCGAGAAGCCGTACGAACCGCATTTTCCAGCTTTTGTATGATCCCTGATGATCCCCGGCGCTTTTCTTTAAAGTCATTTTTCTTTCTCCGAAGTTAATGGCCCGTAGTAAAGCTTGATCAGTTGAGTTAAACTCAACGTATCCATCAGTTAAGCTTAGGTGAGGTGAACTGATGACCGTCCACCTTCCCATGCTATAAGATGGTCAAGTCAACTGATAGTTGGCCATCTGTCCACCTGCTGCAGTCAACTGTCCCACATCCGTTCACGTTGAGTTGAACTGAACGTGAACGGATGTTAGAGGAATGCAAATAGCGTGTAAAAGAGGAGACGCAGACAAGAGTTGACTGCATCTAACATAAGTTGCTCCTGAGTAACTTACGATACACACAGCTTTGCCAAAAATGCAGAAAAAATCGGCGAGATACTGCACAACCGCGCCCGAAAAGGAGAGGATCGATGAACAGCTGATTTTGGCGAGGAAAAGAAAAAAACCTCTTTTTCTTTTTTGTAGATTTTACTGACTTTTTTCTTTGACAAACTGCTCAATGCAAGAATTTGCAGATTTATTTCCTTGGGTTTATGTTGCAGTTATTTCAATTTTCCATAAAATTTTCGTCAAAAAATGCGTTTTTGTGTCATCCATGTTTTTTCTAGGCGAAATCCTTGATAGCGGTCATCATCGATTTTCCGATAGCGGTCGCTATCAAAGACGCCCTGCAATACAGCAAAAACGTGGCGCTAGCCGGTGTCGAACCATGGCCGCGCGCGTTTAATTTCAGTCTCTTATCTGCTCGACCAAACCAGCTCGAGTGGTTCCCTTTTCAAGAAGGCGCTTGAATGTGATGCCTCGGAAGCGATCCGCATCCAGATCAATGGCTCACCGGATGCTAGACTGAGGCGTGATGAGATCAACGCCGGTCCGCGTCGAGAAAGATGCCCTGATGGGGGGTTTACTACGAGCCAATGAAAAACCTCCAAAGTTGTACAGATTATCCAACCCGACAGTGCTAAGCATGTTCGTGATAAGAACAAATGATGTTTTAGAGTCATGAAATTTTCGATGATCCGCAGGTCGAAATTTGAGGTCTACCGAAAAATTCGACTTTTCAAAAACTCCTTTGTTCTCATCAGCAACATGCTTAGCACTGTTGTGTTAGATGTTCAGTACAACTTTGGAAGGTTTTCGTTAACTTCGGCGAAAGAAAAATGACTTTAAAGAAAAGCGCCGGGGATCATCAGGGATCACGCAAAAGCTGGAAAATGCGGTTCCTGCAGCTTCTCGCTCCTTTCAACATGTTCATAGTGAAGGATAGTAAGAATGCTTACAGATAGGTACACAACATGAAATCCAGGTATCTGGAGTTTCGAAATATAAAGCTTTCTTTTAAGCTGCGATCCCCTCCCCAGCGGGGAGGTTAGTGCATGCGGCCCTTAGTCTACATCTCTCTTTTGACGTGACTGCAGAATATGACGTCCTTGTAGACAACATCAAAGGCAGAGTCCCGGCAGAGTGGCGGATGCTGGACTTTTACCAATGCTATAACGGACATTATAAGTTAAGTGGGGAAAGAAGTCTGCAATTAGGGGCTGTTACGAAAGTGGCCGCACCTAACTAACTTATCTAAATGCTGAGCACCCAATGGTATAGCACACGGTCAAGTTTTTTCATTTTCCGCTCGGCATCCTCATGGCTAGTTCTAATTGAATCTTTATAAATGACTAATGTATGGATCGTAATCGTTTGATCTTTACTCGCATAATCGTATTTCAGGTTCAAAGTGTGCTTTCTGGTACAACAATTAGTTCTTTGCTCCATGCAAGCTTATCACATACGGAGCGCAAATCTAGGACAAATCCTACTATTTCGCAGAAAGTAATTGAACACAGAGGAGAATAATTCAGATGTGTGTTACCTTACACATGCAACAACAATTTTACGTTTGTATGTCTCGATTGCCTGTAATAATATGTGTACATTTTCCACCTTTATGTCTTTGTATAGCTTTTGTAAGCTTATAAATATTTTATACCAAGCAAAGCCGTTAATCAATTTCCTTCATCGTATCATACACGTCTAAGAACAAAAACAATCTTGGCTTGAGGTTCAAAATGCAATAGTATGCTGCTGATGCATACAATTTCGACTCTCGAAATTGTAAAACGTGCACGACTTGAGAACAATCCACATGTGGTCCAAAAGATGGTCTTTGGCCGCAGGTATTCTTGGTATCTTTACATTTTTTCAATAAAGCATTTATTTACTAAGGATGTATGATTGTATATTGAGAAATGATGAACTAGTATATTAGGTTGCTGCATAAGTTCTGTCCGATTTGAAATTTGAGTTCAAAACGTCATAACTCTCTTCAAAGTCAACATTTTTCCAAGATTCTAGTTTCTCTATGAGTAATTCCTTGGCTATCAGACACATATTGAAGTCTGCGAAAATCCTTGTAAAGGAAGGAGAAAGAACTCAAAAACTTCACAGCGTTTCTCTTCAAACCTGTTTGTTTTGACATGGCAGTGCTCCCTTATGAGAATTGGCTGGCATCTTGTCCAACAATGGATAGATAGAGAATTTTTCGCAGATTATTTTAGGACATAAAAGAGCCCATAGGGTCTGCGTTGCCGAGAGATTTTTTTGACCGAGCAAAAAAGAAGCCACTTTTTGACCTCGCTTCAGTGCATGTGTGCATGCCTATTTACGAGTTATGAAAATTTTACAATTAACGTGAGCGCCGAAAAGAAATTGGTAGATGGCCTCTGCTAGCCCTTGCTTTACGCTAGCATCTCCAACTTTGAAGTCATCGATTACTTCTATTCACAGAAAGTTATAGCTTGTAAAACATCTATACAGAAAATTAATGTTTGACAATAAATTTTACTAGCAAGACGTTTTCTTCACGAAACTGAACTTATGCGTATGCTAGCCTGTTACACCCTTATTCCGGAACCGATTAAAAAACTTGACCTAGGGCGCATTATGGAGATTTCCTCGCAAGAACATGTTTCTAGGGTGAGAACGTACCTCGACCACTTGGAGATTTCAGGCCTGAAATCTCCTTACACTAAGAAATTTGTTGAAATTTGATATGCATTAGAATGCGCAAGAAAAGCACTTTTCAATGATACTAACAATATCGCATCAGAGATGAGATCCTCTTAGAGCAGCTGCTTCAGACATAAGGCAAAAAATTTCGGACAGAACTTATGCAGCAACCTAATAAACAAAAGCGATGTGCATACATCAAACTGTGCCTTGAATTAGCAAAAACACAAATTTCTAACCTTTTAGACAATCTTTCTGCTACGCTGCATTCAGTAAACGTGGGTGTAGGCCTCTCTGAACCCGCTCCAATCGCGATCCACCAAGTGTTGCACTGCGATTGGCTGCAGCTCCGGCTGGTTGCGTTTCAGTACGAGTTGCTCCATTGAATGTGTGGTGTATTTTCAAATAAAACGCCACCTAGTGTACATTACGTGGACAGCAGCAGGATTCGAACTCTCATGTTTGTCACTGTGAGTCCGAGATACGCGCTCCTCAAAAGCTGTGGCCGCCACAGCTTTTTAGGGGTGTGCCACACCCCACTGACTATATCAAAAAAAACATTTTTGTAAACAGTATTTATTAGGTCTTCCCGAAAGTATTTTCGCTTTTTTCAAACAATCGCCACGGTCCGCAGAACAAACATCCTTAAAAGATTCTGGAATCATTCGATGCAGTTTTTTATGCTCTTTCAAATGATCATCTCCACATTGCAGTTTAACAAACGAGCTCTCAGAAAATTACCAAAAACTGCAACCCACGCTTTTTACTAAGGTCAAGTTCCGCTATTTTTCTAAATTCTTGTACTGATTCTCCGAAGAAATCCAAGTAACCAGCGGATAGAGCAAAGCAAGTAGGAAACAAAACAATTCCTTTCTCTTTCCCAGAGCTCTCCATAATTTTTTGACAAAATTTTACACAACATTATCGAATTTTAGCAGACCCATACCAGACGCAGACTCGTCAAACTCTAAGAAATTCTCAGTTTTTAATACTCTTAAAGATAGATTGAGATTCAATACTAATTTTACAAGACAAATGAGCGTTTCCAGGTTCAACATATCAGATTTTGAATTTTTCGGGTACATCTTGGGGCGCCATCAAAAACATGAATTTTGTCGATTTTGTCCTCTAAAAGGTTACGAATCAGAAACAAAAAACATGTCTCTGAAAGAGGAAAAGCTGCTATCGAATAACACCCGAGTTGCTTCCCGAGTGTTGCTCTATGAGGTTTAAGTTGACGAAATATAGGATCTGATAGCATCAAAAAAATATTTCCAAAAATTTTGTAAAGTAAGATTTGGAAGGGGCGAAAATTCTTTTGTATCCTACTTTGTTTGCTCTATTTAAAGGTCTCTTGAACTCCTTTGGGAAATTACTACAGGAATTCAGAAAAATACCGGAAATTGACTATGGCAAAAACCATTGGTTGCAGTTTTTGGTTATTTTCTAAGAGCTCGTTTGTTAAATTGCAATGTAGAGATGAACATTTGAAAGAGCATATAAATCTGCATCGAATGATTCCAAGATCTTCTAAGGATGTTTGTTCTGCGGACCGTGGAGATTATTTGAAAAAAGCGAAAATACCTTCGGGACAACCTAATATATGTATCGATAGCCTAAATCTCGTAGACTTTACAGGAGTGATTTGAGGCTGATCTTTCTTCTTAGCTCTGACTGATATCTCAGGAGCGTGCGGGCCATTCTGACCGAGGCGGAGCTTCCAACTAAGTGGACGGGACTTGCCATGAGTGCGACTGTCCAAGAGTTGAAGTCTAAAGACGTTCCGCGGACATCTAGAGCCTCTTCCGTGCACTTCCTGCATGAAAAGAGGCTTCTAGAGAGCAGTAAAGGAGGCGGAGTTCTCAGTGAGGGGCAGGGTCGACCAAAAGGATGGTCGGCCATCAACGAACCTCAATGCACTTTGACCGAACTCAATCGAGCGATTGAGCGCGGCAACACACTATATAGAACGTGCTGTGTTGTAGATGCTCTCCTTATGGGCGTCGTGGTCGGACCATATCAGATTCCATAAATGGGGTCTTCCCGGCTCGGCGGCTGGTTTAATTACCCAACTTAAAAAAAAGAACATAGTTTCTTTTCGTTTTCGTTGCCTTCCCGATGTACGTTAAGCGGAGCATTTGCAGACATTTGAACGTGTTGGTGACTTGTCAAACCTCTGCTACAAAGTATGGTTCGTTGTATAAGCTCCTGCAAGACGAAGGCGGTCGCTTCATGTGCAACGCGGTTGCGACATGGCTGCGTCACAGCAGCGTCACAGCCGCGTCACAGCCACGTCGCGCCTCGAACCAACCGCCTTCGTCTTGCAGGAGCTTATACTCTCTAAACCGCCACTATACAGTGCTGGCCAAAACTATAATTCCACCCTAGAAACTGTCGTAACTCATCTGCTTCTCAACGAATTGATCTGAAATTTGGTACAGTTGTGTGTTCAACAGGCTGCAATCAGTAACCAAAATGGATCCCGTTTTCGTTTGATTATTCAGGAAAATATCAAATTTCGGAAAAAAGCAGGCTTGAAGGTTGGCCAAAAGTATAATTTCACTTAAGGTTTCTGTCCACTAAAGTAATTCTCAGCTTCCAAAGTATTTTGTGCATATGCATAATCAAAAGTCAAAACAGTCGCTTCAGTCCAGCTGTGTTACGTTTATAAGAAACGTTTATCTGCTTTTTTTTTCGCTCAGAAATACTTTCATGCGTATTTCGTTTCCAAGAATGTGCTTTTATGAGTAATTTCGCGGTTTTTTAACTGGTTTGGAAGCGATAGGGCTGCATCTATTTTATAGATGCTTAGCGAAGTGAGAAATAGAAAAAATCGGAGTTTTCATATTTGAAGCGCACCCGACATAGAGCTAACCGCAGGCCTGCGCTCAAATTTATGCCCTCAAACTCCTTCTGCAATGTTCTTATGAGCGTGAAGTAGAGTAATAACATTGTTTGTACGTTTGAGAGTCCGCATGCAGTGGTTGCAGATTTCCGCAGGTATTAGCATGCAGGCTAATTGAGGAATTCATCATGCAAAAACTGATTTGCAAAAAGCCTTGAACTTATTCTCGGTTCTGATCATAAGTTCATGTGAGTCACAAGGCATCATACAATGCAGGGTGTATTCACTATCTAGAAGCTAAATAGTGGCAAGAAATCAGGAAAAGTACCACTTGGTAAGTATTTTGGGATTGCCTAAATATTATCATTGAACCGCGAAGGTTTATGCTTTGAAAACGATGCAAAATGTGACTTGGCCAACAATCGCAAGTATAGTGTACGAACTTCTTTTTATGTAAACGACGCTTTACATCATTTTGAGCTTACAAAAACAACATAAACCAATTTTGGAGGCAAAAATTTGAGGGCAAGCTTGCTGTAAGGTCTATGTCGGGTGCGCTTTAAATATGAAAACTCCAATTTTTTTTAGTTCTCACTTCGCTAAGCATCTATAAAATAGGTGGAGCCATATCGCTTCCAAACCAGTCAAAAAACTGCAAAAATACCCATAAAAACACATTCGTGGGAACGAAATACGCTTGAAAGTGTTTTTCAGCGAAAAAAAAGCAGATAAACGTTTCTTATAAAGATATGACACAGCTGAACTAAAGCGACTTTTTTGACTTCTGCTTATGTATATGCACAAAATACTTTGGAAGCCAAGAATTACTTTAGTGGACAGAAATCTTAAGTGGAATTATAGTTTTGGCCAACCTTCAAGCCTGCTTTTTTCGAAATTTTTGATTTTTTCCTGAATAATCAAACGAAAACGGGATCCATTTTGGTTACTGATGGTAGCCTGTTAAGCACACAACTGTATTCGTTGAAAAGCAGATGAATTACGGCAGTTTTCAGGGTGGAATTATAGTTTTGGC